AGCTAAAACAGACACTTATAAAAACATACACGTTATCCTGTTGTGCTCATGTAGCATCAAGGTCATACTGAATCCTTGGTTTATCAGCTCCAAACCTAGGAAGGAGACTGGTTTTGGTCCTGAACCTCTTACCTCTATAAATAATCGCTTGCATGTAATTTTAATGAATGGTCATAAATCAGCTCTGTTGCAACCCCCAGCTTGGCGGATAACACTCAAGGAAAGGTCATGGTTTCAGATTTTGTGGCAATCGCTCCCACAGTTCCAATAATCAGATACATCTGCTGGTCTCAAGTTACCTGATAATACTGTACAAAGAATAGGGTCACTGCTGAAAGTTCATCTCAAGAGGCGCGGGATGGGCAAACTGAGCCGGCAGAGCAGGCTAGTGGGTGGGATCCTGTGGGAGAGAGACCTCAGCAGACCTGGGAGAAGGAGCAGTAAAGCTTAGGTTAGTCAATGTGACTTTAGATCCTGTCAAAATACTGACATAAATGTCAATTTCTAGCCCTTACAAGATATCGGTTTGTTCTTGGGGGGCCTGTATGATTTCTTTTCAGAACAGGGCAAGAGGGTGTTGCAGGGAGTATTGAAGCAGCATTTGGCTTTGGTACAGCATTGCGCCCTTCTTTCAGCAAGTAGGGGAGCAGTGTACCAATGAATTTGTGAGGTGAGAAATGTTTTGCTTGGCTCATGCTTGAAGAGTAGTTGCAAATACTGCATCATTTTTATTAATAGGGAACTTAGGGGGGCGGAATAGTCACATTTGCTCAAAATTTTCATTTAAAATTCAGATGATGAAGGAAACACATACTTGGAGCACGGCATGAGCTGAAGGACATGGTTGTGTATAAGATGCAGGTGATACTCAGCAATGTGTGAGCAGGTCACAAAGCCATCCCTCCTTTCTTCTCAGCATGGGTGAGTTTCTGCCTTGCACTTGCGGCCAACCTATTGTGCCATGCTTACAGGTTTGCTGAAGAAAGTCCTAAAAGCAATGAAAGGAGGGAGATCTAGTAGGTATGTCCTATGGGTAAAGTATCAGTGAATTAAGTGTGTTGACCTGAAGATACACTGATCACCTTTAAATATGCAAGAGGCTGCAGCATGAAGAGTGGAAATTGTCTCCTTTTTCCACCCATAGCAGAAAGGATAGGTTTATAGCACAGCTCAGGACAGTGCTGGGGGCAGGAGCAGCTGGGCTCCTGAGGAGATGGCCTGGGGAAATTGTGAAGCCTCTGCAGCAGACATTTGTCAGGACGGGCTGGATGGATGCCTGTTGGGATGTTCATGAGGGCAATCAGCTGTTTATAAATACTCTTACTCAATGCCTTTCTGCAGTTTGTGTCTGCTATTGCTGTCCAGGTGCAATGGCCACCAGGACATTCTCCTGCTTCCATGACGCTGCAGACACAGTTTAACATGCCATATGCAAAATTCAGCACATATTTAACTTAGTTCATCTGGGTAGCGGACACCCCATATAAATACACAAACTCATATTTAGCCTGTATTTGCAGCACGGCTGCAAAATACCTAAGAAATCCAAGCTTGTTCTGGGATTACTTTTCCGCTTGTTTAGTTTGGCATGAGATTTTAGGGCCTGGAAGAGAAGGGTGGATCTGTTTTAAAAATATATGCATCTTCTGCAGACCTTGTAAGGTATCCAGCAGGAGCTGCCTATAGCTAGGGTTTTTTTAAAGGAGTGTTAGTTGTCTAACAAGTGCTTCAGCCCCCAACTCCCTCAGGGCTCAGTTACACAGGAGCACATTACAGAGACCCAGACACAATCCTCTCTCATCCTGGAAGGAAATGCAGCCTCCTGCTCATGGGGCCTTCAGTCCTGTAGGCTTAGGGGCTTGAAACCCACCCAGCCCCGGGGTTTCCAGCCCTAGCAGAGGGTCTGGCTTGCACCAAAAGGCAGGGGGTTGCCAGCAGGGAACCTACATGTGGTTCAAATGTGCAGGTTGAGAGTCCCTGAATGTCTCCAACAGACTCAGAATGGAAAGGAAAAGACCACTTGGCTTGTATCGACAGTGTGTAAGAGAAGAGGCTGACCCCTCACATGCTGATTTTCACTTAGGGCTCAGTGCTGTATCAGCCAGGACTTTGCTAAACCCAAAGAGGCATTGTTTTAGTGAAAGCTCCAAAAATCTTGCTTTTTTTTCCACAGTTTCCATACCAAAGTGCATTTGTGGGGATTGTATTTTCTTTTCTTGTATCTGGTTGCACTCAGAGATTTATAATGTGTGCCGGGCTTTGCTGCTATTACTAAACCACAAGTGCTGTTCCTCCTTATGGTGGCCCTTACTCCCCCCTCTCCAGTCACTATTTCTGAGAGCAGATCAAGATGCTATTTTTGATTTTTTTTCTCTTTAAGACATATCTAAACTCCAGCCAGAACAATTTGTTTCACTTTTAAAGAGAAGAAAGGCGATGCCTACCACAGGGCTCATTTTGACAGTGCACAATGCTACAAAGAAAATTGCCAAGAAAGAAACCAAATCCAGCAGTATTCAGGTTACTATTCAAAGGAGACTGGTCTGCCAGAATGAAAGCTTCCTCCTGTGCTTGTATCGTTCTTCATCAAACCTACAGCAAATGAAAGCTTTTGCTGTGTGCACAGCAGGCAGTGGGACCCTTCTGCAATTTCCTTATTTTCTGCAAAATCCATCATTTCTTTCCATGCAAGACATTCAACCTCTTCTGTGGGCCATCTTCACTACTGGAACAACTTCTTTTCTGTGCAAATAATATTATAATTGTCCTTCGACTCTGACCTGATTTTATGCACTTTTAATTTTTATTCCTCCTTCAGTGTTTAAAAACTTTGACAACACCCTAAGAACTAAAACACGTAGCACAGCATTAACATCTCTTAATGAACCAACTACCATTTTCTCTTCCCATTGCCAGGGGTTGCTCTGCAAAGCCGTTCCCCTTTGCTTACTCCACCACCCTCATGCATGCTGCTGCCCTTGTGCCAGCTCAGGCAGCAATCCCCCCGTGCCTCCCGCACCTCAGCTCTGCCTCAGTCTCCCTCCCCTCACCTGGTCCCTCTTCTGAAATCCCTTCTCCATCCCCACTCTGCTTCCCTGAGTGATGTGTTATAGGTTGCACAAACTCAGTGTTTCTGGAATGTTTCCATCAGCTTTACTGTGGCGGAACAGCGTGCCTTAGCTTTTGTAACAAAGAACTTAAAGTTGCAGACATTTTTGTTGGTAGGCATTTGATACGCAAATTTTATTTGACTGTCAGGACAGATTCACAACAGTTTTCGATTTGGAAATCATAGACATTGGCACCTTTAATGAGTCAGAGATAGTTGAAGGTGAAAACAAAGGAGTATTATATAGAGTATTATAAAGGTGATGTATTTATTACTGCTTTCCAACATTATTAAGTAAAATTCATTAGGTTATTAATTGGAGATTAATATGAGATATTTTGCCAGCAATATTAAAAATGAGATGCTTTGCCAGATTAGAGAGAGAAATTGCTATTTGCAAGAATACAGGATGGAGATGCAGCCTTCCCATTTGGTAGGAAGCAAACAGATCTCACACATCACTTGCTAGAGGTTTTTTCTGGTAACAGCAGTAGATGCAGACAATTTTTAAGAAAGAAATCCACAGCTTTCCAAAGGTGCTGAAGAACTTTGATCCTCAGACACAAGAAAGAAATTCAGCCTGTGCTGACTCTCCTAAACTCTTTGGCTTGGTTTTTTAAAGGATACTTTATTTGTTTGTGCCGATAACTTGACAGCTACACAAACTATGGAACAAAGCAGCAGATCAGGATAAGTGGTCTTTTTCAACGTTTTCCACATCTTGGTCACTGTTGAAAATAAACAACTGCTTATTTTTGGTCTCCTGAGTCAGTGAATGGCATTGTTGTCTTTCCTGAGTCTGAGCTGTGAGTTATCAGTGTCTGTGTGCCCTGGCACCATGGCACACATTGACCACTTGGCCATTCACACATACTAAACTTCGCTTTTTTATCCACTAGGGCAGAAAAATCTCGCTGAACAATCACAAGCTGTGTCTGATGCCCTGAAGCGGGACAAGGAGAAGTTTGGGTAAGGACCAGCTTACACACTGTACGGTCTGTGCTCCTCGTGGAATACCTAGGGATTTGGAGGCACCTCTGAAATGGGCTCTGCAGAAGCCTACACAAAGGTAACTCAGGGGGAAGGCTGGGAAGGAGGAATTCAGGCTGTCCTCTCAGGGAATTTTGCACCTTGCTCTGAGCCAGGCGCACAGCAAAGTAGCTCTGGGGGGGCTGGCACCATGTCAGGGCAGAAGCTTCTGACCCACAAAAAAAAAAAAGAAAAAAAAAAAAAGAAAGGAGGAAATCCTCAATTTTTCCCATTTTCCAATACATGTAGGACACTTAGGCCAGATGTTACCAGTTTGCTTTTTTCAAGGAGAGGTGGGGTTGAAGTGGCTGTGTTTAGCCTGGCACAGCTTGGTGCCAGGGGGAGGATGCTGGTGCAAATGACCGAGGCATGCACATGTTCCCATGGGGAACAGGTGTGGATTTTTGTCTGTGGTGGAGGTGAAAGCATTGTAAGTGTCGTAAGCATAAATATGAGTGCTCTGCTATGGTCTTAGCCTCAGTTGTGAAAATCATCTGCTGGTTTTCTGCAATTGAGTGAATGAAGTTCCAAATGCTGCCACAGGAAAACAGAAAAGCCACAGCTGGAAAACAGACTGTAGAAATGCTCATTTTGGTGGGGATGCTGGCTGAGGATCTCAGCCTGGGTCTATGAACAACGGTTACCACTTAGAAATGGAATTGTGCAGGTTGCAAAAATAAAGAACTGATCTATGGGAATGCTGCAAACATCGGGATGTGAATGCCAGTGGAGCAGCCCCAGTGCAGGGCCACGAGCACCACGAAACCCGTTCTTTGGTGTGGAAATGCTGGGGGAGAGGGCTGGGAATCGCCTCTCCACCACGTTCCCTCGGTGTACAAAGCACCTGGGCAACTGTGGGAGCATGACCGGTGGTGTTGTGTGGGGGATTCTGACAGCCCTCTCCCAGATGATACTTAACGTCAGCACAACGCCAGCTACTTCGCCGAGCGTGCAGGGGCTTGTATGGCTCCGAACCTATGAATTTCGGCTGCTAGCTGCATCCTGTACCCCAGGACCACTCCTAGGCGTTGCTCGCCGGCCTTCCTTTGTCTTCTAGCGGTCTGACAGCTCACCATTCCCATCCACGGCGATTTGGGGGAGGGGAGCCGTGCCACTGCTGCGACCGCTCGACAAATCGCTCGGGTTGGGCTCAGAAAAGCCCACGAAACACCCTTCGGTGCCGGCCGGGACTCCCGGGGCTCTCCGGCACCGGACAGCACCGCCGCTGCCGGTGCCGGGCGTTTCAAACAGCCATCTGTCCCGCGGCACGCGTGACGCCGGCTCTGTCTATAGGCGGAGGCTTTCCCGGCCGCGCCTCACGCCCGCTCCGGAGTCCCCCCAAGCCCCCGCCGCCTCCCGGGGCAGCCGGGCCCGGCCCCTCGGGCCACACCCGCCGAGGGGAGGGGGCCGGGTGGGCGGCCCGCCCGCCCGCCCCTCGGGCCACTGCCGCACCCGCCGGCCCCAGCATGGACGCTGCCGGCCCGCCGCCCGCCGGTCCCGGGGGATGGGGCCCCGGGAAGGAGGAGCAGGCGGCGTACGCGGAGGTGTGCGGTTCGTCCGGAGCAGAGAGCGAGGCCCGGGCGAGCGGGGCGGCGGCGGCCGCGGATAGCCCGGCCCCGGCAGGGCATCACCCCGAAGCCGCCGCCCCGGGATGTGGCGCGGGGCCGGGGTCGCCGTCCTCCTCCTCCTGCCCCTCGGCGGGCAGCGCGGCGGGCGGCGGGGGGACGGAGGAACCGGCGGCGGTCGGGGGGCAAACTTCCTCCTCCTCCTTGGGCTGCGAGAGCGACGAGGAGACCGGAGCGGGGCGCGGGGCCGGCGGCCCCCCCCGGAGAGCGCCCAGGGGCGCGCCCGGCGCGGCGGGGCCGCACTACATCAGCACGCAGGAGATCCAGCTGAGCGAAGTGGACCACGATATGGACTTCGACGCGGGGCTGGCCGCCCGCTGGGACTTCGAGGACGACAACGTGATCTACTCCTTCGTGGACTACGCCTCCTTCGGCAGCGACGAGACCCCCGGCGACACGCCGACGGAGGAGGACAACAGCTGCTACCTCAGCACGACGCCCAGCGAGCGCACGGCGCGGGCGGACAGCGCGGGCAGCGGCAGCGAGGCGGCGGGCGGCAGCTCGGGCAGCGACGCGCCTCGGCGGCCCGGCGGCGCGGGAGCGAGCCCCGCGGGACACATCCTCCTATCAATCAAAGCGGCCTCACGGGCTATAAATGAGTGTAGCGCCGCGCGGGAAGAGCGCGACGCAATCTACGCCGCCGAGCATGAAGGCGACATGAGCCTCCGCGTCGCCGCGGCTCCGGAGCGCGCGGCGGGCTTCGGGCAGGACGCCGGCCGCCAACACGCCAAAAAGTTCATCGCCGTCCCCGCGCGCCTGCAGACGCGCTGCGGGGCCAGGGAGGCGGGCGGCTGCTCCAGCGGCGCCTCCAGCGCCGTCAGCGAACTGGACGACGCCGACAAGGAGGTGCGCAACCTGACGGCCCGCGCCTTCCGCAGCCTGGCGTACCCCTACTTCGACACCCTCAGTCTCGGCTCCCGCGCCTCCTCCGCCTCCCTCTCCGACCATGCGCTGGGCGTCAACCGCTGGTCCACCTACCTGGACCTCAAGTGCGGCGCGCTGGGGCCGCGGGGCGCTGCGGGCGGCGGGCAGCTGTGCGTGCGCTCCGGCAAGGCGCCCAGCAGAGCGCTGCAGTTCGTGGTCAGCAAGCTGGACGGCGAGATCGCGCACGTCGAAGCGCCGCCGCCGCCCCGGGGAACGCTCGGCGTGCGGGAGCCCGGCCGGGCCGCCCGCCCCGATGAGGAGGAGGCCAGCAAGAAGTCCAGGTTCGCCTCCAGCCTGCTGAAGAACGTCATCTCCAAGAAGATGCAGCTGGAGCACGAGTTCAAGATGGAGCGGGGCGAGCTCACCGACACGTCCTCGACGGGGCCCGGGGCCGCGCCTCCCGCCGGCCGCGACCCGGAGCCCGGCGCTGGGACCGGAGGCGGCGGGCGGCCGCGGGAGGGCGGCCTGCAGCGGCAGAGCTCCCGGCTCTCGGAGGGAGGCTCGGAGCACGGCGCGCCGCCGCCAGAGGAGCCGGGGGAGCGCGGCGGCGGACGCTCGCCGGCCTCCAAAGCGTCTACGCCGCGCGAGGGGAGCCAGGAGAGAGCTGCGGCAGAGGAGGCGGCCGAAGCCCGGCGGGGCGGCTCGGAGGCGGCCAGGGCCACCTTCTTGCGCAGCCAGCACAGCGCCTTCAGGTCGTGGAAGGAGCGGGAGGCGGAGAGCAAGGAGGAGCGGGCGTCCGGCGGCAAGGCGAAACCGTTCCCGCGGCCCGAGCCGGGCGAGCCGGCCGCCGGGAAGGCCACCAAGCTGTCCCGTCTGTTCGTGCCCGGCATCCAGCACGCCGCTAAGGAGAAGGAGCCCGCCGTGCAGCGCCCCGCCGCCACCTCGCCGCCCGCCGCCAGGCCACGGCTCCCCGAGATCAAGATCAGTCTAGGGCCACCCGCCGAGCCGCCGTTCAGCATCGCGCAGCTGCTGACGCCGCAACTGGCCGCCCGGCCGCCTGACACCGGCCACAGGGCTCCGCGGGCCGACGGCTCCGACAGGGTGCCGCAATTCTTGGTGCGCGACGTGCGGGAGGGCAAGGGCAAGGCGCAGGCTCCCCTTCATCAGGTGCGGGACGTGCGTAAGCTCATCAAAGGCTCCCATGGCGGGGACTCGGCGGATAACTGCAGCGACAGGGGCAGCGTGGGATCCGAGCAGGGCGGCGCCGAGCACCGGCAGCCCGGCCCGGCCGAAGCGGGGAGCAAAGCGGCAGCGGGGGGCAGGGCGCTGGGCTGCCCGCCGGAGGGCACCGTGCTGGTGCACCGCACGTCGGGCCGCCTGCCCGTGGCCACCATCGCGCCCAACAAGAGTGACCCGCGGCAGCCCGCCGTGCTTAAGATCGTCGCCAAGTCAGCCGCGCCTTGGCGGCACCAGGCGGCCCCGGTGCCCGCCGAGAAGGGCCGCGGCGCGGAGGAGGACCCGCGGGAGGAGGGCAAAGCGGCGCCAGTCCAGAACGCGCTGGAGAAGCTGACGGCGGCGGTGCGCAGCATGGAGGAGCTGTACAGCTTCAGCAAGCGCGAGTGGAAGCGCAAGAGCGACCCGCTGCCCATCACCGGCAGCCACGTCCTGTCCCTCATTGCCAGCCAGGAGCGCGACGCCGCGCCCCGCCCGCCCCTCGCCGCCGAGCCAACGCCCAAGGCGGAGGAGCCGGCGAACAAGGGCCCGGGCCCGGCGGGAGGAGAGCGACTGCCGCGCCGGGCCGCCAACCCCGCCGCCGCGGCCGACAAGGTGTCCGCCAAGGCGGCCGCCTTCGAGAGCCTGGCCCGGCAGCGCCAGCGCGGTCCCGCGCCGCCCCGCGCCCTCCTCACGCTCCGGGGCCCCGCCGCCGCTGCCGCGCCGCCCGCCAAGCCCCCGGCGGACGGCGGTGTGCGGGGCCCCGCGGCGGCAGCGACGGCGGCGTTGGCTCCGCGAGCCCCGCGGCTCCAGGCGGG